CTCGGCCTCGGCGCCGGGCCTTCGTAGCCAGCCCGTGCCCCTTTAAGGGGTCCGGGGGCTGGGATGGGGGCAATAGAGTTTCCCTGGTATTTGCCAGAGTGGCCACCAGGGAAAGCTGGGGAGGGCTAGCCTCCCACTAGTTTGAATTAAGGGGCTACACACCCCTTAATTTGAACTAGTAAGTTCGAACTAGGCTTAGTCCTCGTGGAATGAGGTTTACCTAGTTCGAACTAAGCACTCCGCTAGTTCGAATTAAGTTCGAACTAGCGGAGCGCTAGTGTAGCGCCTATCAAAGTTAATTCGAACTAACGTCCGTTAGTTCAAATTAACTTTGTAGTGTAGACATACCCTAAGATACAGGGTTCTTGAGCAGTCTGTGTGATGTAGGCTTAACAGAGTTTGAGTCGGTTAGCCTAGAACAATGGAGTCATGAAGTAAAATGCAGAAACTTCTGTCTTTGTCCCATGCTAAAATGGGATCTGCATACCTTGCTGCACCCTCCCTATACGCCACACACTGCACTAGAGCTTTCATTGCTCACTAAGCTCCAAGGAAACAGACCCGAACATTCCCAGCCCAGAGTGCTGAACATGTTGCGTGAACAGGAAATTAATAGAATCGAACAGGAAATGGCTCGTGCAGGTCTTGATTGCCCTCTGGAGCCAGGCTAGTTGTTTGATGCTCCTCGAATGACAGCACTCCTTTCAGCTGCCGCCAGTCCTTCCTCGCTGTTTGTGTAAATTTTACACTTCTACAGCCGTAGTCAGAACTGTCTCTTGGACCTCACCTCTCTCTCTCACTGAGAACCCTGCTTAGAAGCAGTCTGATCAGGTGAAGCCAACGATGTGCTTTGTACGGCCACTAAAGAAAATATTTTCCTTCAAATACTGTATCTGCTTGTTACAATATCAGCCCAGGGTTAGTTAACCTGAGATAGAGAAGAGAGTGGAAGTCTCTCGCATTGTAAATATGTGTAGTGTGCCCCCCAGACACACAGCACTGTACCAGAGCTGTACTGAACTAATTCACAAACCTCAGCTCTGCAGAATGCCTGGGCTGAGTCCAGCCAGGGGACTTGGCAGCATGAAGAGAGGCCCCTCTCTGGGGAACTGTTCTTGCTCTCTCAGCCGTGGGAGGGTCAGTGTTGCTCCTGGCACATGAGACCACTACAAGTGACTTTACAGGCTTTCTGTTTATACTCCCACACATCTGTGTTAGGGCAGGGGAATCTCTGCTATTGCACAAGACCCTTCCCTGCTGCACCGTTTTTTAGCAAAATTAGTTTCTCTTACTCTAGAGTCCACATTACAGACAAGGAGTAATTTTGTCACAGTTTGGAGCAGGGACTGCTGATCATTCCAAAGAGCCCGGAACTGCACTAGTAGGTGGAGATGCAGGGCAGGACTGAGGTGCTCTGGTAGCAGCATGGGAGGAGGGGAAGAGGAAGTCGGGCCACAATAGCCAGGGATGCTGCAGATCAGAATTGAGGAGCATCAAGTGATCTGGGGGAGGCTTGCACAGCCACTGCTGAAACCGCTGCCTGTGAGACTTGGTGAGGGGGCTGTTGCCAGCTGCATCACTTCCCTGTTCTTGTCTGGCTGTTCTCATGTGGGGCCTGTGTCCTCTTCCAGCTGGACGAGGAAGAGGAGAGGAGGAAAAGGCGCCGTGAGAAAAACAAAGTAGCAGCAGCTCGATGTCGCAACAAGAAGAAGGAAAGGACAGAGTTTCTGCAGCGGGTGAGTGCCCCATGCCCCTTCCCCAGCAGGCTGAGTAGAGCCTTCCCCTCTGCAGCAATGCACTCCTCTCTCTTCTCCCCATGGAGAGGCAATGGTAGAATACACACCTAGTCCCCAGGCTATTAAAAGTTCTTCAATAATTGACCAGCAGGGGATGTTCACTCTGCTGAATCTCCCTTTCCCCCACTGCTAGGCTCAGCGTTCCCTCCTCCACTCACCTCCTCACCCTGCATCTGGGAGTCCAGCAGCAGCCTACAGCTCCTGAGGCCTTGTGCCTCGCAGATGCAGTCTCTGGTTTGCCAGTTGCATGCAAGAACATAGGTCCACTCCCATTTTTCCCCAGCTGGTCCTGAGGGGTAAATGGACCATGACCTCATGTGTCTGTTACTAAGGTTGTTAAGTATCGGGTAATTGGCTAATTGAATAATTAATGCATTTAGCATCAACTATTCGATTAGTCAGTAGGGTGCCTCTGCCTTTGAAGTGTATCAACAACCTTTGGTGACGTTTCAAAGCAGCAGCGCCACACAACACCCGGGGTCAGTTGGGGATTCCCCAGCTGATCCCAGGCTGTACGTGGCATTTCAAAGCAGCAGTGTCGCACGGAGCCTGGGGTCAGCTAGGAAGTCTCTAGCTGATCCTGGGCTCCACGCAGCGCTGCCACTTTGAAATGCCACACGCAGCCTGGGCGCCCCCCCCCTGGGGCCACCCCACCTTGGGGCTCCGCACAGCATTTCTAACTGACGCCCCAGCTGACCCCAGGCTATATGCGGCACTACCACTTTTAAGTACCTCCCTCTTCTCCCCCTCCCTTGCTACCTCTATCTGATAGAGGCAGCAAGGGGAGGCGGGGGGAAGTGACCAGTCGACTATCCTGTCTACTAGTCCTTCACATCCCTATCTGTTACCAGCTAGAGCAGCAGCATGGGGTGTGCTGGGCAGGAAGGCATCTGATAAATTTCTCGTGTCTGAGCTGAATTCCATGTCCCATCCCTGTGTGCAGCCCTGCAGAGTGCTCATCTCCTCCAAATGACCTCAAAAGGCCACAGGCCCAACCAGTGCAACACAAACAGGCACCCAGAATATACAGGGGGAGCACCAGAGTCTAGAGTCCTGACATGCCCAGGGTCTGTTCATTTCTCTCAAAGCTCAGAGATTCATAAAGGCACATGCAAGTCTCTCCCAGAATGATTCCCAAGTACAGTAGACACATATGTTCTTCCTCCTACAGTGCATGGTGCCACCCCAAAGATCACTCACCCTTCCTTGCACTTCTTCCCCCTCAGCAGGGATAAAAGCCATATCCTAGCACAGTCATGTGCAGTGAGGGGTCATTTCTTGGACTTGGGGCTCCTTACATAGGACACAAAGATGTTTTTAAAGCCAATTCTCTTGATAAGACAAGCCAGTAAAGTCTGAATCATACAAAGATCCTTGTTGCTTCTCTTCTTCCTGAGAAGCTGGATCTCCCCTACTTACTGGATCTTGTTTTCTTGAGGGCAGAAAAATGTTTCTAGTATAAAATATCTTTTCTGTAATATTCAGTTCAGTTTTAGTAGATTGCATATGATGTGTCTGTTAGATTGTACATGTTTTTCTCTTGTGTTTACAAAACAGCAACATCTATATCATGCTTTCAGTTGTCAGTCAGAACTCTCTTCTTTGGCATAGTGCTAAAAGGGCAACATTCACCACTGATTTAATGGCAACTGGGGATTGTGAAAATATTAAAAACCATTTTCCTTTGAGGTGATAGACATGTCTTTAATACAAAGGAGCTATAATTCAGCATGAGTATGTCTAGACTGCATCCTTCTGTCGGCAGAGGGATGCAGATTAGGCAGGTCGACATTGCAAATGAGGGAGCATAAGGGATCTGTCGAAAAAGGGTTTCTTTCTTGACAGATCCCCCTCTAGACTGCCGCTTTTTGCCAACAAAGTGCTGAGTTGGCAAAACACGGTGGCCATTTTTATGCAAATTAGGCACGGGATATTTAAATCCCTGCCTCATTTGCAATGTTGACCTACCTAATCTGCATCCCTCTGCTGACAGAGGGATGCAGTCTAGACATACTCCATGTGCTCAGAAGTTGGGAAATTCTACAGGTCAAAAAGTAATGAGCTATATCTTCCATCATTCCTGATTAACATGGGCAAAACTAAAGATGGGAAGGAACTTTTCAATATCTACTTTTGGACAGCAGTTTCTATATTTCCAAATCTTAGCTGAGTATATGCCTTATGGAAATGAGCAGGGCTTGACAAATTATGCAAAACCCTACTTGCGAGACAAAAAAGGGACTCGCCACCTCTCCCTGCACCACGCAGGCACGCACCACCGGAGAACGGGATGACCGGGACAGCATGTTTGTTTACGTCAGTTATCATGGCCACGGTTATCGTTGTTTGTCATTTTTTGACATTTTGACACAGTGTCAAAATCGTCAGTGAAGGTTACAACAATATTTTCATAGGCGTACACAGCACATTTCAGTAGAGCGTGCACCCAAAGAATTTTTTTTTAATGTACTCTTTGACCCCCATCAGCCACACCCCCTGACTCCCATTAACCACGCCTCTGGAGGTAACTCCCTCAGGGCAAGATGGACACATGACCAGAAGTAAAAGGTGTCATGTGACACCCCCCCCAAGGACTTTTCCCACCATCCTCCTACCAATAGGGATTAGTTTGGCCCCCACCAAAACCCCCTCATGCAACGGTCCTGCAATGGCATTAACCCAATGTGTGTGACATTAACTTGGGGGCAGAGAGGCTGGGAGAAGTGTTCCCTCTAAGAGTTTCCTTCCATGAGCAGAATGAATTTTGTGTTGTGCACCAGTACTGAATTCATGTGGCTTGTTTGGATGTGCCACTGTGGCACCCAAGGGTATGTCTACACTACCATCCTAGTTCAAACTAGAGTGGTTAATGTAGGCAACCGGAGTTGCAAATGAAGCCTGGGATTTGAATTTCCCGGGCTTCATTTGCATATTGCCGGGCACCGCCATTTTTAAATGTCCGCTAGATGTCACTCCGTGCCCGCAGCTACACGCGGCACGAACTAGGTAGTTCGGATTAGGCTTCCTATTCCGAACTACCGTTACTCCTCGTGGAACGAGGTGTACCGGTAGTTCGGAATAGGACGCCTAATCTGAACTACCTAGTTTGTGCCGCGTGTAGCCGTGGGCACGGAGTCCGAACTAGTGGATATTTAAAAATGGCAGCGCCCGGCAATAGGCCA